CAAAAAGCCTATATTCAGTCTTGTTTCAGAGATACCATGTACTCCATAAACCGGGAACCTTCTAAAAACAAATTACCTGGTTAGCCTGATTGTTGTAATTCTTCTCCTGAACTGTGCCAAGTCCTCAAGAAGGGAAAACATGCTGTTTTGTCTACTGCCTAGGTTGTGGCATGAAGTACTAAGGAAAGTGAAGATGTAAGAAAACAGTCCCGGGAAAGGAACAGTTATGTTTCCATAAAAGGATTCCAATGTAACAATATGACAGGGAGTGCAAAATAATCATTGCAAATATTCCAATCATGGTAAGAGAGAAAAGCATGCACATTGTGAAAATTTCTACAAAGAAAAAAACAGTGAACATGCCAGATGCAAATCCAAAAGCTGAGAAATACAGTGATAGAATGAAAAATGCTCTATAGTGGTTCAAGTAGAACAAGTAGAACAATTTAAAGAGTTCTGGGATATGACTCAGTGATAGAACTTTGCTCTAGCATGAGCAAGGATGCTAGGTTCAACCCCTGGTATCACAAAAACAGACTTTGAACTGATTAATCAGAAGAGACAGGAAACAAATATGTTTCAGCGAGTCACTAAGGGTAAAAGGATAGAAAGAGAAAAGAATACTTAAAAATAATCATGAAAGACTACCCAAATCCTGAGACATAGTCATCTTAATCCAAGCATCAAAAAACAAAACAAAACAATTTTCACATATAAGGAAATCCTCTGGAGACTATGAGCAGGTACCTAGCAGATACCATCAGGGTAAAAGAACATGGAATGATGCACTCAAATTGTTAAATGAAAAAGAAATGCCAAAAATAATATATTTGGTAAAATATTCTTCAAAACTAAGATGTGATGAAGACTTTCTGGACAAATATTGGCAGTGCTGATCCCTGCTTGACCGCTATACAAAAGTGTTATGGGGAGGTTTTGGAGCCGAAAGAAAATTAGAACACTAATAAAAAGTATAGTGAAATCATAATGAATGTCGGCAAATATATGTGCCCTGATGCTAGGAAGTTCATCTTTAAATTATTAGCTTCTAAGATAAAAATAAAGAGAAGAGTGTTCTTAGTTAATACATGATATAGAAATACCGTATGTGGTATTAACAACCAAATATAGGAGGTGAGTAAAGGCATGCGGTTTTATACGTGATAAGTTGTTATTTGTTATAATATAATTGATTAATGGTAACAAATAGGTTATTAAGCTATTTATGGAAGTCCTGTGAAATTCATAAAGAAGGTGCCTATAAAAGATAATCAAAGAAACACATAGGAACCAAAGTATGTTAGTGTAAAACAAAGCCCTAAAAAATTCAATAGAGCAAACAAAGCCACAAGACAAGGATAAAGCTAATATTAAAATGACATGTGAAAGTTCTTCCCTATTAATTAAAAATGTAAAATGGACATAACTCCAGTAAGAAAAATACAAAAAGCAAGGTACCCTGGGCATGGTAGTGTACACTTTTAATTCAACACTCAGGAGATCAAGGCAGCAGGACTGCAAGCTTGAGTGCAGTCCTGCTTGTACAGTGAGATCAAATCTAGGCTGTGCACCATGAACCTGTCTCAAAAAACAAGCAGGACAACAAATATCATAGCTCAGTAGTTCTCAACCTCCCAAATGCTGTGACCCTTCAATACAGTTCCTCATGTTGTGGTGACCCCGAACCATAAAGTCATTTTTGTTGGGACTTCGTAACTATAATTTTGCTACTGTTATGAATTGCAATGGAAATATTTGTATTTTCTGATGGTCTTAGGTAATCACTGTGAAAAGGTCATTCTATTCCCAAAGGGGTTGTGACCCACAGGTTGAGAACCACTGCCGTAGCCTAAGTATATATTTTTGTTTTTTAAATATGAACCTATTTTAGACACACACTGGTTGAAAGTAAAGCTGGAAAGAGATGCTCTGTGCAAAGGGTAACCAAAGGAGAGATAAATCAAGTCTATTTCTATTAGATAACATAGTTTTAAGTTAAAAATCATGAACAGAACATTGTATAATGACAAAGGAATAAATTTCCGAGAAAGCAACACGATTATAAACACATGCAAGACCCAACATCAGAGTACTTGACTCTATAAAGCAAATAGCAAGGAATTGAGGAGAGAAATGAACTGAATGTGATAATAGGAGGAAAATTCAATATCCCATTTTCAATAATAACTAGAAGATGGGAGAGACTGGCAGATAGTAGGATCATGACAGGAAGTTGGGAGTCGCTGTTCATAGACTTTATGTATATAAAGTTTCAGTTGTGCAAATTAAACAGGTTCTGGTGACCTGATGTGCAATACAAAGCTTAAACTAACATTTCCGTAGTGGACATGTACAACTTCATTAAGAGGGTCGATCTTGTGTTAAATATCCTTATCACAACAAAAAAATGCAAAGGAAAAAAATACTATTTTTCAGAATCGAAATTGAAGCTATGTGTATGTCAGAGAAAAATAATATTTTTCCCTTTTCTTCCAAATGTAAAGCTTTAAACTGCCTCCATAAAAATGTGATGTTCACACATTAACAAGTGACTAATCAAAAATTGATTTTTGGCAGAAAATGCATTGTAGAAACATCATGCTGTAAGCATGGCTCAGTTGATGCTTCATGTCCAGCTGTCCTGGGCAGCATTGTACACAATTCAGTTTAGACAGGGAAGGCTTCTCATGTACTTCACTTGGCCATACTGTGTGTTACTCAGTACAGACAGAGAACTTGGTCTGCTTCCAAATGACTGTTTTCAGAGTAACTGACATAGAAATTAGCATTCCACAGTTCTATCATGTTATCTTCTAAAGCAAACAATACGGAAATCTTTACCTAGGACAAACAACTTACAGTCTGTGCAGCAGGAGCACAGATAGCCCTAACATTAATGTTTTAACAAGTCATCATTCTGGTAACAAATATGTTTCACTGGGATCATTTAGTTAATGACATTTGTTTTAAGAATAAGCATTAAAAGAGCAGTATGGGTATAATTAATTCAGGAATTCATGGGCACATTTAGCACAGAAGATTACATTCTATCTAGGTAGAAAGAATTCTGCAAGAATTTGCTAACTCACCTCACCCAGAAAGTAAATAAAAGAAAACTGATTCAACATTTCATAAACTAAAATACCTTTAGGGTCCATTTGATCTACCTTTATTGCTTTTTAAAACGTCAAGTTACAGAACAAGAGGAAAAAAATTGAAATACTAGAAATATCAATCTTGTATCACCTGGGGAGAGAGAATAAGTGGTGGGAATATAGTAAATGTCTGTGTAGGCACCTCCGTGAACAAGAGAGGCTAAGAGAGTGGTCATGGACACTTCTTTGTCTTGTTCTGTCTTGTTTTGTGGGGTTTGTGCCAATCCTGCCCCTTGATAGAACCTTGATCTTTCCTGCTGCACACAGATATGAAAAGCACCCCACCCATTTCCAGATATTGATATCAGTTTGATTTCTCCCCAGTCAGATGTAAAGACTAGCACTACACTTTTATTTTCAAGTTAATTTTGTCTCTTTCATGTCTACCCACACTGTCCCCCTAAGTGGGCAGTGAGGAGTCAAATGTTATGGTATCTTTTCTCCCAATCTATACATTTCACTACCTTTTAAACAGTTTCTGATGCTTCCATATTTGGCAAATTAACTAGAGCCAGATCAAACTGAAAGTGGCAAAAACAATTATTTGAAGAAATCTTTCAAGATAGATTATTGAATTCAAAGTGTTTGAATACTCATTTTTTCCCCTGTCTTTGCAGGAAATTCCAGCACTTAAAAAGCAGCACTTAGAAAGCAGAGGCTGGAAGGTCTTGAATTTCATGACAGCCTGAACTATATAGCAAGATACCATCTTAAAAACTAATGTTATCAGTCCTCAATGGTTTATGTTATGTGTTCTTGTTGTTACATCTGCCAAGAATCCCTATTTTGACACCTTCGTCAGTAGTACCCTTGAGAGAGGTAACATCTTTCAGCAATTGCTGTAGGAAACATGGAGGTGGTTCTCAGCCTTTCCAGTGCTGCAGCCCTTTAATACAGTTCCTCAGGTTGTGGTGACCTCCAACCAGGAAGCTATTTTCTTTGCTACTTCATAACTGTAATTTTGCTATTGTTATGAATCATAAATAAATATCTGTGTTTTCTAATGGTCTTTTGGGAATCATGACACACAGATTGAGAACTATACATTAGAGGAACTTGACATGCTAAGCACACAGGATGCATTATCTGTTTTCTGCCTAGAAGGCTAGAGAAAGATGTGTTTACTAGCCTGGCTACCACAATCTCTGTGGCTACCGACTGTTCCAGCACCAGGTCCTCCCTTAGGCCCTTACTGTAAATTTGCTTTTCTCAGTCATCTATCGATCACATTCTTACGGACTTTACAAAGATTTTAGATATAGTCATGCCTGACCTGCATTTAGCTTGCTTTGTTCCTCAAGGAGCTTTCTACATTTATTTTTTTTTTTTAACAACAAAACACTTGGAATTGAGCTAATCATTACTACACAAAAGTTGTCACCAAAATGTGCAATGCTCAGACTTGCCTGAAATAAAACACCCAGGGTCAGATGCCTGAAATTTGAACCAACACTAGCTATGGTGTTGGGCTGAACTGAGCTGCCTTCTTACCTTTTGATGATGGTCATCCTATTGGACATGGGGGTGTGGTCACAGAAAGACCCACAAACTACTTTTTAAACATCACCAAAGCTGCTTCCTCTTACAGACAATTCCAGTTTTTTCCATCAGGGACTCTTCTCTCATTAAAGACATCCACATTCTTGTTACGATAAATCTTTCTGCCAAAAGCCGCCGAGCCCCACTGCCACATGTGCGCTTTATGTCAGCCACCCGCCCGAGTTAGGCCCAAATAAATACACAGAAACTTGTATTAGGTACAATGCTGCTTGGCCAATGATTAGGACTTCTCATCTGCTAGCTCAGTCTTAACTATCATAAACCTATATATTTTATAAGAATTACCTTATCAGACGCCTTATTGGCGTCCCTCCTTGCCAGTGGATCACATTGTGCTGCTGGAGGAGCAAGGGGGAAAAGGGGCCACTTCCTGTTTCCTTGCTTAGATATGAGTCTCCTTATTATGTCACTTCCTGCCTGGAACACCACTTCTCTACTACATTTCCCAGAATCCTCTTTGACTCCTAGTCCTGTCTAACTTGCTGTTTCAGTATTTTATTCAACAGTATTTTATTCAACAATCAATAAGATAAACATACACAGAAGTACTTTCCCCATCACATTCTCTTTAAAAGAGACCCCTTTTGGTTCATAAGACCCTCATCACCATTTCCTGAGGAAGCAGAATGCAGATGAATCCCCTCTGTTCCATTTTCAGAGCACATAGCCAGCCCAGCGATGCAAATCATGACTATTTAGACCACCAAATTATCATGTCTAACCCAAATTACAACATCATGCCTTTCAATGGGTGCCTGGGAATGTCAACTTTCTAATAACAAAGGGAGAAACACACATTTGTGAAGCCTCCCAGTTGGGAAGGTAATTATAGAAACACAGCTCCCTACAAAAGTCCACTGTTCCTCAAATGCCTGAACTTTCATGTGCTGAATATGGACAAAGATAAGTGATTCCCAAACTCAGTTTGAGTCCCACATGTGGATGTCAGCTCTACCACTCAGTTAGAATGTGGTAGCTATTTTGAGTCCAAAGCTCCCAAATGGAATGACACATGACCACACTTGGTTCTCATTGGCAGTTACAGTTTACCATAAATAGACAACAAATTATGAGATCTTTTTGATTAAAAAAAAAAACTGTATTGTTTATGAAAGCCCAGGCAGTGCAAATCAGCTCATTCCCCTGCTCCATTTCGAAGGAGCAATGTTAGCTGCATTTGATTTCATGGATTGTCTTAGTTTTTCCAATATTTTCACCCTTATTTGAAGATAGATGTTTTGGTTTACTAAATCCACAGTTTAGATAATTTAAAAGTAAACATATAGGTCTCCGCCACCTTTCTCTTTAGTTTGCATTGACACTTTGGCTGCTTATTTATTTCTCCACACCTTCACAACCATCTTCATGGGAGTTTCCCTCCTGAGCTTACACAACCCTCCTTATCCTCTTCTTCTCTCCTTCCCTCCTTGGTTTCCTCCCTTTATTTTTCCTCTTTTCCTGTTTATATCCTTTCCTCACTTCTGTATGGCTTTAGCTCTTAGTCACTGCATCTCGAGTATAATAAATACTGCCTGCCTCTGAATTCCATAAAGAGACCCACATTTGACCTTGGCCTCAGCTACTCTCTAGTTTCCTCCTTATTTCTTCATTCTCTTTCTATTGGTACTCCTTGTATACTTTTTTATTTTATAGTCCTAATTTTCCCTTCTTTGGTTTATTTTAACCACCTGTCAAGATATACAAGCTCCCTCTTTCAATCCATAAAGATCTGCTTGCGCTAGGCTTGTGCATCTGTGTCATTCTCTCTTTCAGTCCTTAGTCATTGCTCTCCTGGTTTGCTCAATGATCAGAAAATACACCGATGAGTCCTGAGTTAAGTCTTATCCTCTGTGGTTTTGGGCAATGTAACAAGTAACATACATTCTTTTTGAGCCACTCTCCCACTCTAAGTTCCTTTATTTAGCTTGAAGATGCCAGTCTGCAATGAACATGATGATGTGAGGGTGGGGAGGGGAAGACTCCTTCACCTTAGAGTCCTCTCCAATTTGCATATTTTCCTGCTGTTTTACAATCAAATTTCTCAGGAGTCATGTTAAAACTTTACTTTCTAATCTGTTTACTCTGAAATGTTTTCTTAATTATTATTACTATTTTGGCTTTTGTGCTTAATTCTCTACATACTCTGTTGCCAATGTCCTTATTACTAAGTCTACAGAGTGTTTTTTATTCTACATTCTATTTTTGTTCTTGACAATATTTAGCACCATTAAGTTACCCTGATTGTAGAAAATATCTTTTTTGTTCTCATCTCTTTCTTCCTTGCACTCTTTTCTTCCAACTTGGTGTTGCCTCACCATTTCCTTGGATTCTTTCTCCTGCTATCCAGCTTTTTTTTTTTTTTTTAAATTCTATGCTCTGTGTGTTTTCTTCTCAAAACTTCAGTCATTATCTAAAATACCCCAAATTTATGTCCTTCTTGGATGGCTGTTCTGATCTTTAGTTCAGCTACCCATTGGGTACATATACTTCAACTTCCATGGAAACTTTGAATTTGTGTCTAAATAATGAAACTCTTCTATCTTTCAGACTTATACTTCTAATTCCTTATCTTTGATCAGTGACTGACACCACCCCTCTCATCTGATTGCATAGTCTAGAAGCCTGCCTTCCTTTCTTGTAAACCCGTGTCCATTTACACAGCAAGCTCTATGAATTCTGGATGAAACTACTGTTCAAATTCTATGCATCTATAGCTTTGACACTAACATTGGCTATCCTGGACCTTTTCTTGGCTTACTACAGCAGCTTCTTCTTGTGCCCCTATGATTTCCACACTCCCCCCTTCTAGGTGTGCTTGGTATTATATATAGAAGAGATCCTGGGAGGTCTCTAGGATCTGATAGTTTCTGTCATTCTCCATTCTCTACTTCTAACTTTATGGGACTGGACATCAAGAGCCATAGGCTTATTAAGATATTTTTCTTACTGACACCAAAAGATTCAAACAAGATTGAGTCTTGGCTCTTGGCTCGATTAATATCATATTTTAGGAAACTTGGAATTAACACTAAAAGTTGTAAGTTGTTTATTAAATACTTTAAATTGGTGTTTTGCATATTTAAAAGTTTTAAGTGTAGTGTTTTCTACCATAATACAAAAGAAATAAAGAATTGAACTCAAGGAGAAAAGCAGCAGAAGAAATATGTAACACAGAGATAAGACAAGGGCTGAGTCTGGGCTGGGAAAGGAGATGTGGCTGCTGATGGCTTTGGGTTTTTCCTTTAATTTCTCAGGAAGCTATACCAGTTTTCAGCCTGTATGATTTAGCCAAAGATTATAATTTTATACAATGGATCAGGGATCCCCAAGTGGGTGGGCTGAAAATGTATGCTTTAATATTAGCTCATATGGCCCAAGGACTGTTACAGTTCCTAGGCTGGCTGACTCTTGCCACAAGCAGCCTCATCTGTTACAAGTTGTGCTAGATAACTATTATCATTTCTCTATGAAAAACATTGAAGATACAGTAATATGGAATGAACAAATTTCTTTCTTTTGCTATGTCAGCTCAAATGGGATTCTGTTACTTGCCATGGAGAACTTGGAACAAGACATCTCGCCAAGCATGGATTTGAGCTGATTTTTTCTCCACTGTAAAATTATAAACAATTTTTTAATGTCTTAGAGGTTTGATCCAGGTTCCTTAAGGTAACATTGATTTTTTTTTTTTTTTTTGGCTTTTCGAGACAGGGTTTCTCTGGGTAGCTTTGGAGCCTATCCTGGCACTCACTCTGGAGACCAGACTGGCCTCGAACTCACAGAGATCTGCCTGCCTCTGCCTCCCGAGTGCTGGGATTAAAGGAGTGCACCACTAACACTGGCCAAGGTAACACTGACCTTAAATTACATTATTTTTCTCTTTTTTAAGACAGCAATTTCCCATCATATTTTTAAAAATCTTTATTGGCATCTTTCCTTACATACATACATACATATTTCACTAAAAATAACGGGCATTTTACTCTAGGAGTATTGAACTCTACAAATTTTTGAGAAATTCTCAATGAATGTTATTCTTGTTTTGCCCAGTTCTTTTTATACAGAGTGAAGGGCTCTTCCTGTTAAAAATTTTAGCCATGAAGATCCACCTTCAGAGCCAGGTGTGGTGGAACATGACTTTAATCTCAGAACTTTAGAGGCAAAGGCTGGTGAATCTTTGAGTTCAAGGCCGGTCTGGTGTACAGAGATGAGTTCCAGGATAGTCAGGTCTATGGAAAGAAACCTTGTCTGGAAAAAATCAAAAGAAAAAAAAAAAAACAGAGGATTCACCTTCAATCTCTTTGTATCCATGAAACATTTTAAATATGTCAAATGAATAATTTATTGAGTCACTTATTAAATATTTTACATTATACTCAGTCATATAGAGTAAATTTATTGAAGGTGGAAACTTGGTCATACTTATTTTTGTAGTATCTCATCCTAAATGAAAACATATAACACGAGATAGTAACAACATTTAATACTTACTTGTTTCCTTTGTGTTGGCAATTTTTCACAGGTTGTTATTATATCAGTCAGTCATTAGAATGACACCTAATTACTATTGAAATCATTATCATAATCATTCTAATAGAATACGGCAAGATGTGAATGACATAAATTTGTCATGCTGAAGACATGTGCTTGAATCCTGTCCACCACCACTTGGTAGCTACACTTTGAACTTCACTTCTCTGTGTCTCCTACATGGTCATGTGCTATATGGTAAGGTATGATAAAGTGGTTATACATTTCTAAGGAACTTGCAGTATTGGTCCACGAATCACTAGGCATCAATCACCTCTTTGTTTCTTCATTTTAGTCTACAGAAACTTTATAAATGTATATTGAAACAACTTAATTATCTATATATTTGGAAGCTACCATAAATATAGTCACAAGGTGAGTTTTTCACATAGGGCTTCTAAATAAATAAGCTAGTACTGACACACAGTATGCTATGAGATACTTCTGGTTGTGGATTTGAAACTACCTAGGAAGTTCAGGGGCAGGGAAAGGGTAAGGCAGATAATGCCAACTCTATGTCATCATTTTTACTCACTTTTAAAATTACAATCATTTACATGGGATATGCATGCATTTAGTAATTAGAGGACAGTTTGCTAGGGTTGTTTACTCCTTCTGCCCTGTGTCATCTGGAGATTGAACTTGGGGCATAAGATGACAATAAGAGCCTCACTGGTCCTCATCATTTCTTTAAACAATCAAAAAGTGCAATGATGACAGACACCGGGAATAGAAAAAAGAAACATTTGGTACCATATTTGTAATTTGATGATGACTTGATGACCATGACTGTATAAGAATTATGAAAAACCTATTT